CATAAATTATGTAAATTCGATTGAGAACTTGGCGGATCCTCTAACTAAATCTCTAAATAGAGATTTAGTAAATTCTATTTCGAGTAGGACGGGGTTGAAACTTTTAAACCAAAAGGTCCACCAATGATGGCAACTCTACCTGTCATTACTCAAAAAGTAATCTACGGGTTCAAATGATAACAACAAGTCATTTGATATGTAGATAGTTTCAGCATTATTCAAATCCGCAATAACCCCATACTAGTTAATATAATGCTGGCTGTTACTGAAGTGAGGGTTGAGCTTTAAGCTGTTAATAAAGTTCAGTACTAAGTACAAGTATCTCTAAAAGTAACAAAGATACTGGAAGAACTTTACCTAAATAAACTTCGAGGTGGTGCTGCCTAAATATAAAGTAAGAGTTTCTTTCTTAAAAGCTTGTTGAAAAGGATGAACGCAAGACCATATTAGCGCTAAGCGAAATTGAGAAACTTGAGAACACGTGATACTTGTGTGTGTGTTCTTACCGGTATCGTCATATGGAATCATTGGTTCAAAGCTTGCATGCTACCTTTAATTCCGACTTTACTTTGTTAGAATTACACTATGATTAGATTCAAATCGAAAGATATCTAATCCTTATGCATAAGTATTGTACATTTGAATATGAGATTTTATTCAATTTTGAACAAGTGGGTGATTGTTGAAATTGGTTGTTCAAAATAATAAAATCAAGTTTGGAATGGAAATTGAGGATGGAGGCCAAAGTTTTGAACTATGCGACCGCATAGTTCAAAGGACTATGCGGTCGCATGGTCCTATACAGGGACTTAATGTCCTGATATTGAGAAACATATGCGGTATGTTATAATTTTGGCAGTTTTTATCTGTTATAGCCGTTGTCATTTTAAACTTGGTGACTTTTCATCCTATTTTGGCACCATTCTGTGAACAACTCTTGAAGGCTATAAATAGGTGATCCCTACTCATTTGAGAATAATGAAAAAATCATTATTGCAACCTTATTTATTCCATAGCAATAGAAATCATATTTTCTTCTTCATATTCAAAACCCCTTTGTGTTCTTCAAGTTTAGGTGGAAAATATTTGTGCTTTGATATTTTCTGCAACAAGGTTTGATCAATCATTCAAACCATTTGCCGAAAATCCTTAAGCATATCAATTAATTGGAGTGTGAGCAAATATAGTTTGAGGACATCGATTATGCGTTCCGGCCTTTTATTTTGATTTCGGTTTGTTTATATTGTTGATGCACACTTTGGTGAGTTTCTTCTCCAACCCCGGTGGTATTTCCAACATAGTTTGCATTGCCTCCTGTGAGCTTGTTGGTGGCAACGAATCCATAGCTATGCCATCCGCGTGCACTTTGGAGATGGTGCACACTACGTGTTTGATGTACGACGACCTTCCTTGTGTGGATAATGATGATCTTCGCCGAGGGAAGCCTTCAAACCACGTTGTTTTTAAAAACAGTCTAACCCATACATTATCCACCGATTTTGAATTTTTTTAAAAGAATAAAATTATATATATTCCTTATAATGAAATTTTCAGTTTATAGTTTTTTGTATAATTTTTTTATTCATAAGTAATTTTTTATGTATAAGTTAAATATTTACTTAAAATTTTAAGTTAGTGCTTTTACTTAGAATTAAATTTTACAGTTATAAGTTAATTATGTATTTTTAAATAATTTTACACATGCAATTTTTTTTACTTAAAAGTGACTTTTATATTTTATAAGTGATTTTTTTTTTATCTTATTAGTAATATTTTTACTTTATAAACAAGTTTTTAGACAAAATTAATTTTCATCTTATAAGTAATATTTTAATTATAATATAAATTTTTTTTGCTTATAAATAATTTTTTAGTTAATATATTTATATTTATAAGTTATTTTTCAACAAAATATATTGGTTGTAAATAATTATTTTATGAAGCTTAAAATTAGAAGGGAATATAAGAAACGGTAAAAATAGTCAATTTGGTCGGTTGAGAGAACCGCTCAAAATTACATTACACCGTTTTTGAGTAATCTTTAAATCATCTAAAATCGATGCTAAAAAAACTAGCAAGCTCATGTTCTTCCATCTTCTTGTAAACGATGCCACTCAAAACTCGTCAAAACCAATGAAAAAACCTCCCAACCAGGCTTCAAAAGATTCACTAGTTGAATGCATTATTTTATTATTGACATTTTCATTAAAGTGCTTCTTTGTATGAATGTATGTAAATTCTATCGAGTTCTCTTTCAGTTTAAGTTGAGTCGAGTCGAATCGAGTCCTGATTAGTGGTTACTTTATTATCTGCAGACAATTTCGTACTTTTTGCTTGAACTAAATGGGGCCACTGTAATCAATCCACACGTGTTAATTAATGCATAGCATAGCATTAACGCATACAACTATACCTTATAAAAAAAGGATGAGTCGCATCCTTGAAGACCCCCACCTGCCTTACTCTAGGCCTTAGTGAAAGAGGTAAATCGCAGGTTATGCCTCCAAAGGTACATGATGGAAGGCTACTTGCACACTTGTACTTACCCAATGGCCAAATCCATATTTCAAGATTCGAACCCTTGATGCGGGAGTATCAAGCAAAGTTGAAATTTTTCCACCTTCCCCTTTTACAACTATACCTTATAAACGATATTATTAATGGCTAGAGCAAGCCGCCTTATTCTATTACCGGTTTGTCGTCTGATCAATACTCTACCCTTCGCTCCTATTTACGGATCTTGTAGCTGGATTGTCTTTCGTGGAAACTTGTTGCTGACTGAATAACGAAGATCCACTCCAATAAAATAATTTTACACATGGACTTTTCTTCTCTATTTTTTAATAACACATTTTTCAAAAAATCACTTTTCACAAAACTTATTTTTTAAAAAAAAATCTCTACCAAAATTTCAGCAGGAGAGAAGTCAAATAATAAAAATTATTATCATGAACCATCTGATTCATTTTATCCTGTGAACTGTCCACCAGGAAAAAAACTTAAAAATTTCAAATTTTTTTTTGAATGTCAACTCGGTGCATGTGTGCCATTTGTCATTGAGATGCGAGAGTGCACACACCATTTCTATCTATATATAGAGGGAGGGAGTAAGCAATTTTCGTTCTTCTACGGCTCGACAAGAACTCTGTAATTGGCTGATGTAATTTGCATTGGTAATGAATAAAAGAAAATGGCTAAATATGGTAAATTGGCAATGCTGTTGTAGAAATTAATTACTTTATCCTTCGTAGGTTAATGGCCTCTTATGTTTCGATAAAAAGGCTGATTAGATTGGATAATTAATGCTTTTTAATTTCAAAATCTCTATGTTTGCACTCATTTGAATGAATTAATCTACTTGTACAATTGTCCTTAACAATGATCGATGACAACATTAATGTTGTCAAAATCCGAACCATTAATTTGATAAACATTGTTTGAAATAGATGAATGTGATTTTGACAACTATGATTGTCAACCAACATTATAAAAAAATATTGTACACCTACCATGATTAATTTTTTTCAATAGTTTAAACGAACCCCCGATGTTCCAGCATCGGACAGTGTACTTAGTGCGCCGTTGTATGCCTTCAGAGGTTTTAAACTACAAAAAATAGTACATAGGAGACAAAAAAAAAAATAAAAACCTTAAAAAGACGCTACACCAGAGTTGGTAGTTTGGTTGCAGAGGGTAGACGTCAAAAGCAAGCTAGCACCTGCCCTTCAAACCAACACCTGTATGGCTCAGTCTTCCACAAGCAACCACGTATAAACACCAGCCCCACTCCACCCCACCCCGCCCCATCCCTTTATATATCAACACCAATTCTCATCTTATCTCGCAACGCAACACAGACAAAAACACACAAAGACAAGCAAATTAACAAGCCTGTGGGGGAGGTCTGAAAATGGCGGTTGGAAATGGTGGAAGAAGCCTAATGGGGCCCCTCTTAGTAGTCAACTTTGTAGTGTATCTCATTTTACTGGGACTCGCCGGTTGGTCTCTCGATAAATACATCGACGGCGAGCAGGACCATCCCCGTCAGTTTTCTTTCTTTACCAAATTCTTGATTCTACATTTCTACTTTTAAAATGCAATTGTTAATTTTCTCTATTAGTTGCCATTTTGTGTTGATTCTTGTTAATTCCTTTCTTGTGTTCATGTGCTTCTGTTTTCTTCAAATTTTCCATTAATCTCTCTGACACTCTTTACTTTAAAGTTTGCCAAAACACGTTTTACGAAAGTAACTTTTAAAACATGCTCTTACCATGAAAAGTAGCGTAAAAGAAAGGAAAAATAGATGGCATCAGTGCAAGAAAGGCACGTCTGTATCTCATTATCAGGGCAGGGTGGCCCTACCAGAAATCAGAGGCGATTGTATAAGGGGAATCAATGCAGCTATAAAATTATGAATGTGTTAAGAAAAAAAAAGGTGCAAACACTTCATTCAGTAACAGTACTCTAGCATTTAGATAGTAATACAAATTACCTCGTGCTTTACCTTTTGCACTTATTAAAATCAGTAGCAAAAATGCAGTTTTAATTTTTTAAATCTTTTCTTTTGCACCAGATCTTGGTGGGAATCCCTCTACGATTTTCCTTTTGATATTTGCATTAATTGCTGGAGTGATCGGAGCATGCTCGGTGTTTTCTGGTTTTGTGCACCATCGAGCGTGGAATAGTGCTAGTCTTGCTTGTGCAGCTTCATCGGCAATTCTCGCATGGGCTATGACTGCTCTTGCTTTTGGGTACTAATTTCCTCATCCCCATCCCAAAGTTAATACACATACTTGCTAATGCCCTAATATATCAGTCGAAATCTTCACTTACATCCATTTTTTGCCCTATCTCAATACAGTCTTGTTTGCAAGCAGATTATAATGGGAGGACATAGAGGAAAACGCCTGGTAAGTCGTCATTCTGAAATCTCCTTTACCATATTTCAGTCCAACATACCAAACCCTGTACTAAACGATTTTAACATACACAAGTTAATCACAGCAAACATTGGAAGCATTTATAATAATATCAGGACTCAGCCAGCTACTGTATTTGCTGCTTCTACATGCGGGCATGTTCAGCAGCAGATTTGGACCAGCTTATCACAGCTAAGACACTCCATATGGTGGCTCCAATCAGACGGACACCTCCCGAAAACTGGCTCTACATATGATATCAGATAAAGGACTCTACTCTGATAAACCCCTAGCCGGGTTATTGCTCTTAGTACTATGTCAAGAGTACCATTACATTTAGGCAAAGTGTTTGTTTTTTGTTCTCTTGGGTTCTTTAGTTTTCACAAAGGGCATACATTGGAATCCAAATCCTGTATTACAGACACTATAGATTCATAGAATGTTATTGTGCATGAGAACAAGGTTGATCACAAAACTTCTGTGAAATAAATTTGATCTTCCAATCCAATACATATGGTTTAGCGACACCACCAAATTGATAGCAAAAAAATCAAACATAACAAATAAATCAAGCGTGCACACCATCTCGCCGCCTTATAAACCAATCGTATGTTCTTATAACAAATCATGCTTGTAACAAAAACATTTTCAAGATTTAAGGACCACTACACAGTCTACACTTAACATGCCAAATCCATCAAATCTTGCTACAACGGGAGAAATTCAAAGGTAGAACAACAAATGGGGTAATCACAATTCTACAACACTTCAGATTCACTGCTGTCCCTCGCCAGATTCGGGTTTTGAAGCTTCCTTGATCTCATCCCCAGCATCATCCTGAAATAAAAACAGAAAAACAAAAAAACTCAGCATTATAAGTAACATAGCATGTTTTACAAGAATGTTTTAAGGAACTGATCCAAATTCATTCAATATTTAACGGGTGAAAAAAATATTATGAACAAATAATGTGTTAGAAGTGTGATTCTTGACTAGGACTGGAGCGCCCGATCAATTCATTCTAATAGAACTATTCCCACCCCTCTAAACATAAATGTTGAGTGTTAAATGGAAAACAACAAACGCAAACTATTAAAGTTGTATGCTTTGGCCTTAAAATGGAATAATATCGTGGCAGTGCATGAAATCCAGGAAAGGAAGAATGTATATGAACAAGGGAATCCCAGGGAGAGGTAGTAAGAAAGTGATGCTGCAATTGTGGTTTTCTTTGGATATACCGTTATATCAGAAGTCCAGAGAGTCAGATTGTCTCGGAGAAGTTGCATGATCAATGTGCTGTCCTTGTAGGATTCCTCACCCAATGTGTCTAGCTCAGCAATGGCTTCATCGAAAGCCTGATATCAAGTATTATACACAAGTGAGTCAATCAGGTTTATAAACGAAAACAGCATACTGGCGATAAATAACAGATAAAGAATAACTACAAAATGCACTGATCGCCAAAATAATAATAAGTAGAAAACAAATAAGACAGAATGACTTGAGAAAAACAAACCCACCGTTGGCTTGTGTTTTTCCGAGAGTGTACACATCACACACAGAGAGATGCCATGCTCTCATGCAAAGTCGTATTATAGTATAAATTGCCAAGACATCTATAATCAGATAAACTGTTCATATGCTTAATCTTCAGAATATCAACTGATGGCTTAAAACAAAACATACACTGACGAGAATCACAACATTACCGGGAAGCAGACGAAAATCATAAATGTAAAATAGAGGCTTCAATTTTTTATTTAGAAGAAATTTCTCAAAAAGAAGTCAAAAAGAAAAAAAAAACAGAAAACAAACAAAAAAAAGAAAAAAAAAGAGAGAAATAGTCAAATTGTTTAGAACTTTTTAAAAGGACTCCCTGTATGGAATAATGCTAAAATACACTTCTCTTCAACTTATGAAATTTTTTCTAGTCTGAATGCATCCCCACGTCAGCCAAGTCTACGCCAATCACCATTCTAATGGAATAATTGGTCAACTAGAGAAGGTGTTTTAAACAAATATAATAAATAAATAAAGATGAACCGTTAGACTTCTTTATATGAAAAAACGTAAAAGCATCAACTACACCATTAAAAGAAGGTTTATTTTGAAATTTCATCTTTTATCCGCAGAAGACAAAGTTGCATTTCACACCATCAAGCCCTTAACGAAGCTCCAATTATTGTGGAAGAAGACTTAAAGCACTCGTCCTTTTCCATTAATTTCAACACGGCAAACAGCCCAATATTTTAATAAGATAAAAACTCAAGCTCATGGTTATCATGAGGTTATAGAGAAATGACCAAGCAATGACAGGACAGCATGTATGTTCATTCCCAAAATACCTGCTTGGCAAGGTTGCAAGCACGATCTGGTGAGTTGAGGATTTCGTAATAGAAAACAGAGAAGTTGAGTGCAAGTCCAAGCCTGATTGGGTGAGTGGGAGCCAAGTCTGCCAATGCAATATCCTGCATTATACAATTAAAGAAACACTCAGAACGATTCACACAAATAAATCCATTTGCGCAAAACCCATCGTCTCAACACAAATAAATCACCTGAGCAGACTTGTATGCTACCAAGGTACTCTCAGCGGCTTCCTTCCTCTCAGCCCCCGTCTTGAACTCGGCCAAATACCTGTGGTAATCACCTTTCATCTTCAGGTAAAACACCTTGGTCTCGGCAGATGAAGCTGAGGGAACAAGGTGGGACTCGAGAAGGCTCAAAATCCCATCACAGATCTTGCTGAGCTCAGCCTCAATCTTACCCCTGTACTCCTTAATTACATTGACATGATCCTCATTCCCACGGCTCTCCTCTTTCTGCTCGATGGAAGAGATGATCCTCCATGACGCCCTTCTAGCACCAATGACATTTTTGTATGCCACGGAGAGGAGGTTCCTTTCCTCCACAGTCAACTCCTCCGTACTGACAGTCTTAGCTACCTTCTCCATAAACTCAACCATTTCCTCATACCGCTCAGCCTGTTCGGCCAACTTGGCCATGTATACATTCTCCTCACGCGACGAATCAGCTGGCGACATTTTTAATATGCTAAATAGTACTCAAATCTGCACAAAAATAAATAAATTTGTGAACCTTGAAATGTCAAAACACTAATTAATATACTGTACATAATTACACAATAACAACTTGGATTAAAAACATTTTTAATTCAACGAACTACGCCTTATAATCCTAAGCTTCAATATTTTCAAATAGCAAAAAAATATAAGAAACATACAAATAAAATTAAAGAAGAGGAGAATCGTACGGTTCCCAATAAGAAATCATCCATAAAATAAAAAGAAGAATATAATGAAAATTTATAAAAATATGTTTCCCCATCAGATTTCACTAATCTCGTCCTATAACATGATTTGAGATAAAATCATCTGCGTGCAACTCACACAGATTCAATTAATCCTTCTCCATAATATTAGCGCGGAGAAAAAAATTATGAAGCTCGGATGAATCATAAAAGCTTAACATAAGAAACATAAATCTAATGCCAGAATTCAAACTCACTATTTTATCTTCCTTTTCATTAAATACACGCCATTTCATTAACACACAATTTCAGCAGACTGCAGATCTCACTCAGAGAATAAATAGAAACCTATTGTAACCTTAGATCTGTGATTTTAAATCTACGGAAATACAAAATCAAAGGCTAAAAGAAATAGCTCCATCATAGCAATTACATGTATGTACCACATATTATATGAGAATTGAAATTAAACTAAGATATACCTATTGGCTCTTGGGCGTCGTTGAATCGGAAATTGCTTGCTCTGCTAATGGCTTATGAGGAAAAGGAAGAGAGAAGGTATGGTAGGGTGGTTTAAATTATAAGAGAAAGGGCCGGCCAATTGGGAAATGACGAGTGGTCGGTCGTGGCGGACTTTGCTATATTGGGAATTGGATGGCGACATGCTGGCGATGACCGGTCAAAGCCCTTTTTTGTCATTTTGTCTATGGTTTTTGATGAGCCTGACTGGCATCATGGTTACGTGATGATGAGCGTGGCCCCACCGAATTGACCAACTTAAAGCTCTTCAGCCTTGCCTGATTACTGGGCATAACTCGTAAGTAAGTGAAAAAAAAAAAAAAAATTCAAAATTGGGATTTTGAAATAATTGATTTTGATCAACGTGAATCCATCAACGTTTCACTTCAAATTTAAATCAAATTGCTTAAGCAGGTTTTGATTTATGTTTCCATAATTAAAAATAATTTGACATCTGTTATGACTTGCTACTAGTTTTACCACATGGCCGTCGACCCAGACGAAGCTCATTACTAATTTGAAGTGGGCATGCTGAAGCGATCGGGTCTGAGGCTCCATCCAGTTGGTGACTGCCCACGTGCAGAGATCTTGAATTTATTATAGGGGCAATGCTATATATGCATAATTTTTTTTACTTAATCTTTTACATATACTCAAAATAGGGTATGGGGACCACATTTTTTGGAGTTTTTTATTCACGCGGGCCCCGTGCACATATGAGAGGATATAACATTTTCGATAAGGAAAATTATGTACAAATAGTTTTATTCTTATTATAAAGACATTATTTGAATGATTGATATGACTTGTAAAAAGTGTATTTCATGTAATGTCTTGTCAATAGGATGTGAGAGTATTAAATACTTTGTAAAACTAGAAAAGTCAACGCGACGGCTAGGATTTGACGTTTCAGCTAAGGGGATGAGGCCACGTGCAATTTCATCTAAGGGTTACCATTATGTTTGTAATACTATAAATACACACGTTATTTAACAATTGAAGACTAATGCAACTTTAAATACTTTGAGCAATTTGTTTTATTCTCTTATATTCATTTACAATCTTTAATCTGAGTTCATTGTGATTAGTTATTATTATACAATCGTATCCCGGATATCTTGCTGAAACTCAAACGAAAACGTTGTGTCGTTGAACTTCCCCCACATCAAAGTACGATCTTGATTGTTGCTCAGCCTTAACGTGTTGGATTTAGCTTGCTCATGCACGAGTGAGTCCGGTATCTGTTGACAGCACATTTTGAGGTCAACAAAATCAAATGTTAATCTTTTTTTTTTTTTTTTAAATAGATATTTGTTATACTTAGGCACCGTTTGGTAACCATTCTTTTTTTCATTCTCATTCTTCTACTAATTTTCAACCACACATTCATCAATAAAATAATATTT